AGCAGAGTCAAGGGAAAGGGTAGGGACAGCTTTGTGGCCTGCGACATGCAGGGGCTCAGACCAGATGATCATAATGGTCCCTTCTGATCTTAAAGTCTATGAGTCTATGAGGAGACATAAGTGTAGGTGGGGGAGGCATTTGTAGGGATGGGGCTTGTCTGGGGGCATGCCAGGGAGGGCTAGAGGGGCCACCCAACCAGTGAACTCTTGGAGGTTTGGCAGCTGAGAAGCTGAGATACCAGTGCTATTGCTGACACGCCCTTATGGCTGTTTGAAACATTAGAAATTTTTTATTGTATACACTACATTCTGTGATTCATATGCCCCCAGGTTATATGAAAATCAGTGTGTGAATGTCATCAAACATGAGGCTTTTTTTCCCCCAGAATCAAAGAAGAAAAAAGAATAAGTTTGAACTGATATCATTCAGAGGAGACATATGTGGCCTTTCCAATAACAACATTAGTTTAAAGTTGTGGGAGGCTTGTGACATGTAATCGTGCCCAGCATTAGAGCTAAATGAAAAATGGATTATTTTGCTTTAGATGTCGAACAAAAATGCCAGTCTGATTTGAAATAAGGCATTTCTTTTAATTTTTTTCATCTAATTGAAAAACTTGAAAATATTTTGTTTTTAATCAACTAAAATGTTTTGCGTTGACATGAAACTATTTTTTCCCTAAGGTTTACTTTTAATTTGAATACTTTGGGTGTTTACCCCAGGTAACATTTTGACGTCTATCTGACCCAACATGCACAAAAATGTAAATAAAAATGTCCATGGCAAATCTGTGCCTCCTCATACATTAAGTATTTTTAAATTACAATGAAGTCAATCTTTCCACATTGATTTTATCATTCTATCTATCATTGTGATTTTTGAGTAGCAAAAAAAAGGAACAAAAATAGTGATGGGATCAGTTAGACCACTCACTCTTAGTCAAGGGAGATGATGAAAGTACTACACCAATGAAAGTCTTGGGGTGGGGTGTTGGATCCCAGATATAAAACTGCTTTCTTTAAGTAATCTCAAATTATGAGGACAACCTGTTAACACTGGTTTTGTCTGCATACCATAGCACTGATGTGTTAACAATGTACTACAGACACATCTGAAGAAAAGGCTTCACCAGGCTGTGGCACAGGGAGTCTTTGAAATCGTCCATGGTGGCTGTAACTGTATCTTTTCTCACTGAGGCACAAGCCATACAAAGGTGCAGGCTCACCCTGAAGCCATCCAGCACCACTGTGATGAGCTGGATGGAAAATGGGACAGGTTGATGTAGAATTGCTGTGCCTAATATGCAGAGACTGAGCATCTATGTCACTGGGGTCTTTCAAAGGACCATCAGGGGCATTACAGATGTGAGGCATTCCACTATCTGCATGAGCCTAAGGGGCTTCCTGAACTGCTGTGATCTGCAGGGTCCCACTGAACCTCGAACTCTCTACTGACTGCTCCAGCACTTGCCCCAAAGACTCAATATATATATATATGAAGGGAGGGAGAGACAATCTCATTTGGCACCTCAGAATTCAGATCAAGAGCTGAATGAGTCTTGGAATCTGTGCTCCCCTCCAACACCTAGCAGGTGTCTCCCCAGGGCAGATCTAAAGCACATGGCTGCTGCCCATGTTGTACATTTTCTGTGGATAAAAGAATAATTATTCCAACTCCACAGCTGTCAATCTGGCAGCATCGTAAGAAGGAAATGTAGAAAGAAAGATCTCAAAAGTTGGTGCATTACTGTGAAAGATTGTGTATTTCAGGACAGAGGCTATGGGTAGGGACAGATAGTTAGAATTGGAAATGAATGGGGGAACTTGATTGGGAGCGGTTCAAGCTGAATTATTTCTAACCCTGGGAAATTAAGCTTTTTCTCAACTTGCACATTCATATAAGTTCCCCTGTTGGAAACTTCACTTTTGTCTTTCTTAAATAAATGACTAGGTCTAATGTGTATATGTATATATATTTTGTAATCCATGATTTTGGGGGAAAGGGGGTCTTATTTGTGATTTTTGAACTTCTTGGTTTGGAAAGCCATATTTGATATGCCTAATGAAAGTGGAAGTAAATGGAAACTGGAGCCACTGGGCAACCTTCAGCAAGTTCGCAGATGACACTAAGCCACGGGGAGAGGTAGATACACTGGAGGGTAGGGATAGGGTCCATAGTGACCTAGACAAATTGGAGGATTGGGAGGTTCAAAAGAGATCTGAGGAGGTTCACCAAAGAAAAGTGCAGAGTCCTGCACTTAGGACGGAAGAATCCCATGCACCACTACAGGCTGTGGACCAACTGCCTAAGCAGCAGTTCTGCAGAAAAGGACTTGGGGATTACAGCGGATGAGAAGCTGGATATGAGTCAGCAGTGTGCCTTGTTGCCAAGAAGATAACAGCATATTGGGCTGCATTAGTAGGAGCATTGCCAGCAGATCGAGGAACGTGATCATTCCCCTCTATTCCGCACTGGTGAGGCCACATCTGGAGTTCAGTTTTGGGCCCCCCACTACAAAAAGGATTTGGACAAATTGAATAGAGTCCAGCGGAGGGCAATGAAAATGATCAGGGGGCTGAGGCACATGACTTATGAGGAGAGGCTGAGGGAAATGGTCTTGTTTATTCTGCAGAAGAGAAGAGTAAGGGGAGATTTGATAGCAGCCTTCAACTACCTGAAGGGGGGTTCCAAAGAGGATGGAGCTTGGCTGTTCTCTATGATGGCAGATGACAGAACAAGGAGCAATGGTCTCCAGTTGCAGTAGGGGAGGTCTAGGTTGGATATTAGGTAACACTATTTCACTAGGAGGGTGGTGAAGCACTGGAATGAGTTACCTAGGGAGGTGGTGGAATCTCCATCCTGGCTGGGATGATTTAGTTGGTGTTGGTCCTGCTTTGAGCGGGGGATTGGACTAGGTGATCTCCTGAGGTCTCTTCTAGCCCTAATGTTCTATGATTTTATGATTCTATGAAATCTGCTCAGAGGAAGAAAAAATAATTTAAAATGCTTGGCTGTTCAGAGAAAATTGAATTGTTTGCAGACTCAGTGGAGGACTAGTCCCCTATATTGAAAGCCTGGAAGTGTATAGAATGGTTAATATTATGGATGATGAGAAAAAGGTGATGTTTTTACTGAGTTTAATGGAGTCTTAAATATATAACCTGCTGCCTAGCCTATGAGCTCACATTAAACCCACAGACAAAACATCTGCTCTGTGGAGCTGTGTGAATAATGGACTTTTGGCACATTGACAATTCCAAAAATCCTCCCCAAATTAAATGTTTTGTTTTATTTTGAAAAAAATCAAACTGTTACATTTAAATTTTGACCATTTTTATATTTGTTTTGTTAAAAAAAAAGAAAATTTTAAATACAAAGTTGTTTTGAACTGTTACATTGAAATATTTCTTTTAGAAAGTGTCAAAATGAAAGATTTTGATTTCTTCACAATTTTTTTAAAGATTTTTTCTGACAAACAATTTTAAAAAAACAACATTAATTCGTGAAAAGTTTTGATGTTGCTGAACCTGCATATTTCACCAATAAATGTTTTGACTAAAATGTTTTGCTCTTCCCTAGTGCTGAGATTGTATAAATTCTACTATATTGCTTGTTCCCTATGTCACTTGTTTCTGTTTTTATAAATGGAATTAAAAAAATGAAACCATTCCTGAATATATGGCTGAATTAAGGATATTAACAGAGGATTGCAAGTTTATGGCTAATAGCCATTGATGGACCTATCCTCCGTGAATGTATCTAGTTCTGTTTTGAACCCTGTTATAATTCAAAAAAGAACCTGTTATAGTTCAAACAACCTATTATAGTTCAAAAAAAGAACCCGCTATAGTTTTGGACTTCACAACATCATTGTGGAAGGCATTCCACAGGTTGACTGTGCATTGTGTGAAGAAATACTTCCTTTTTTTATTGTTGTTGTTGAACCCAGATTACAAATATTAACAATGACTCCATCCATCTCCTATGTAGGGGAAGGCACACTATGTTAAGACAAAGTACCCAGATACCAGGCACACATGGAAGGGGAAAGTGTGGGGCTCACAGGTGTTCCCTCCCCAATCTCTCCAACTTCTTTTTCACCAACCTCCATGCCACATCTTTCAGTGTCCCACCCTTCCCCTTTTACTCCCCCCAAAACCTCACTCCTCCCCTAACCAGGACCCCCAAATCCTCTCCTGCCTGTAAAACCCAGCTACATATATCCCCATCCCATAATACTCCCATTCTTTCCTGCAGCCCATAATCCACCTCCATTCCCAGCAAGCATTTGAATGTCTAATTTATTTTCTTCTTAAAGTAATTTTGCACCTTCTGAATTTTCTGTTTTGCACAGATATCATGTCCATAAAATAAATATTAAAACAAAAAAACTCCACCTTAGACAGAGGTAGACTGTATCAAAATGCCTACTTTTATTTCTGAATTTCAACTAACAAGGATAGCTGAACTTTTTTTATCTTCGGGATGCTCAGGTTCATTAGTTGTAACAGTTCTCCCTCCTGGAGCTACGCAGAATCTGTAGATCACACCTGGCTATCAATGTTCTTGATCCTCTGTTCCACATAGAATCATAGAATCGTAGGACTGGAAGGGACTTCAACAGGTCCTTTAATCCAGTCCCCTAAACTCAAGGCAGGAAGAAGCATTAGACTACCCTGACAGCTTTCTGTCCAAACTGCTCTTAAAATCTCCAATGATGGAAATTCCACAACCTCCCTAGGGAATTTATTCCAGTGCTTAACTATCATGACTGTTAGGAAGTTTTTCCTAATGTCCAACCTAAACCTCCCTTGCTGCAATTTGAGCCCATTGCTTCTTGTCCTATCCTCAGAGGTTAAGGAGAACAATTTTTCTCCCTCCTCCTTCTAACAACATTTTATGTACTTGAAAACTGTTATCATGTCCCCCCCTCAGTCTTCTCTTCTCCATACTAAACAAACCCA